TTTTTTTTCTCATATATAATCAAATGATTTATTGTGAAAGTAAAACATGTTGATAGTTTCAAAGACTCATATATATGAATGACTGGTGAAAATATGCGTTTAGTTCATCACGAGAGGTACTATCTAATTGAATATAATATAGTTTATGAATAGTATACACTTTGTTATTAGTGATGACTTGTTGATAAATAAGTTCGTCGACAGTTATAGTTGTGTCTGATATTAAAATGTACTGTAATAAATAGATATATATTAAAATTGAACCAAAGAGTATGTTATTTTGTTTCGTACTTCAATTAGATTGGAACTGTTTGTCTTAGGAAGATACAGCTCATTTTTCGTGAGTATTTCTTCAATACTTAATGTATAATTACTCTTGTAAAAAATTGTTTGAACTAAAACATATGCGATGTTGTGTTCCGTAGTATTTCCAGATATGAATACCGATTCCTTATCGTTACCGATTAGCGAAATAATGTATCTTATTGAAGTTTATTTAATTGTTTTAACTAAGCGTGAATATAAAGAGCCGAAATTTTCAACTATTTTTTGATGAATAACCAAGATTCAATCATTAGATTCACTTTTTGTTAAATTCATTTTCCTGATGAAATTCTCTATATTGTTGAATAAGTTCTAATAATTTCTTACGACATTCCTCAATAACACAATTCAATTCTTCATTCATTTCGCGTTTTCGTAGATTCATCAATATATTTCTTCTGGTTTTAAAATTAACAACTAGTTACCAATCTCAGAGTTTATGATGTTCTCTACTCTGACGTTTTTGATAGATTGAAATTTAGTCTCCAATGTTAGCTATTTACATTTCAATTCTACATGATACTCTGTTACATGTTATTGAGCACATGAAATATATTTAGCTACTTTGCAAACTTCAAACAATTATAATAGAAGCTTATTCTTATATGAAGAATATTTAGTCACTAACATGATACTGATGGCAAAAGAAAACAAGACAAGGTGATTTAATTATCTATTATATTTGTTCTTGCAAAGTTTTATCAGTAACTAAAAGAAGAGTAATGCGCACATTTAATTCTAAAGTAATGTGAATACGAAAAAAAATCTTTGTCCAGATGAAACATCATTCATTATTGGTTTTATATTATTCTTTCAAACGATGGCGTAAGTGGACAAAGATGTACGCGTTCGATAATATTAGCCGTCAAAAACAACTAAAAGACTAATTTATTATAAGACTAAATAATCAAAAGAGCATCAGATAGTTTATTTTCGAATAAACTTTCATGTAAATTTATTTATAGATAAAATTCTTTATTTTGAATAATAACAGATTTTTCTATTTTTTTTTTAGAAAAATTTTCAGATTAGATGTTAACAATAAAAATTCTAGTTTTTCTATTTATTTATATTAAATTTTCATTTGAAACTAATACTATTGTATTTACACGTGGTGAATATGGTTATTTTTGTATAAAAATTCCATCGATCTTAACAACATCTCAAGGTACTTTATTAGCATTTGGTGAAGCACGATTATATAGTTGTAGTGATTATACTCAAACAGATATTGTTTATAAACGAAGTTTAGATAATGGACAAACATGGTCAAATTTAAAAATATTATATCGTGGAAATTCTTCAAATGATAATTATAATCGAGTAGGAAATATAGCACCCGTACAATTAAAATATAATCAACGAATATTAATACCATTTTGTAAAAATAATCTTATTATAATGCAAACATATTCTGATGATGATGGTTTAACATTTTCTCAACCACAAATTATTCCTAATGTAACAAAATCTCATTGGAAATGGGTTGGTTTAGGTCCACCTTCTGGTCTTTTATTACAATCAAATCGTATATTAATTCCTGCTTATTATTCTATACATGAAAATGATAATGGTTTATTGTCGACTGGTTATGTTATGTTAAATGATTTTAATGGTCAATTAGATAAATGGTATTTAGGAGGAGAATTTCATCGTGAAGCTTATTTTCCAAATGAATGTCAAGCTATTGAATTATTACCAAATGTCAATTCAATATTTATAAATTCACGTTCATTAGGTACAAAACGAGTTGGTGCTTATAGTAATAATGGTGGAATAACATTTAATAAAGTTATTGTATTAAATACACTTGTACAACCATTAACTGGATGTCAAGGTTCAACAATATATCACAATAATACTCGTCAAATATTTTATACAGGTTTAGCTGAAACATCAATTGTTCGAAGTCATCTTTCATTATATATAAGTAAAGATAATGGTGAAAATTGGACATATATAAAAACAATTTATCAAGGTTCATCATCTTATTCATCATTGACAATAATGAATGATGAATCAATTGGTTTATTATATGAATGGGCAAATAAAACTGATGTTATATTTCAACCTGATTATATGACATTTACTGTAGTATATAATCAAACTAAAAAGTAAATTTTATTTTATTTTATTTTTTTATAAAAAATATGATTACTAGAATACACAAAAAACAACGAGATTCTATTTATACTTCTAAATCAAAATCTTGTTTTGTTTTAGTTGTTTAAAGAAGTTTTTGTTTGATTATTTCAGATAAACTACAATTATTTATATAAAGTATTTTTAATGTATTATTTCATTTAACAATAGAACTAAGATTATCATGACTTGAATCGGTTATTAATTTATTTGAATCAAGAAATAATCATTCAAGAATCATATTATAATCAACAAGTATATTTAATAATAATTTTACTCCTTGATTACTTATTTTATTACCGGTTAACCATAAACCATGATAATATTCGATTAATTTTAAGCATATCATAAAGATATTTTAATCCTTCATCTGTTATATCATTTTGATCGAGATAACGATACTGAAGTGTTGTTTGATTTGTCACAGATATCTACAATGATTAAAGTTTCAGATACACATACTATTATAAAAAAACCTCTGAGATCAACTAATTTAAACATTGAAAACTTTGAAAACTATTTGTTTTATTAAACAAGAAAGTTAAGAATTGATAGATGACAGATACTTAGGGCATACCAAAAGTTCTGGTCACGGCGTTTAGAGAATCTTTTCAGATCAAGAGACCTATTGAGAAATGAAAAATCAAATAAACCATGTTGTAGAGTTTTTTGATGCACGTCGAATGGCATATAGTAAATCTTGTTTTCATAGGACTTTGAAGGACCTAGAGTCAACTTACTGATAGACGACTACATACCTACACCACACCCACCATACTCACACTGGTAAGATGACTAAAGATGCTACATATATGAGGTTGTAGCCCGTCACAAACTCTACAAAATCGTATGTGAGAAAAAATATTTGACAAATACTGTCGACTAATACTAAGGACCACAATATTCAGAAACGTATCATGTTTGAGTGTGAATGTATAGTCGTTTATCAGTAAATTGATTTTAGTTCTTTTAAAGTCTTATGAAAACAGGATTTACTATATATCATTCGACGCGCCTCAAAAAGCCCTACAACACAGTGTACTTGGTTTTTCATATCTCAATAGGTCCTCTTATCCGTAAAGACCTTAACAAGAATAATATATTTATTCACCAGCAAATCCGATGTCTTTACTTTAGAATAGGAGTAATCAAAAGATTCGAAATTCCTACAATAAACAATTCTTATTGATACTTATCTCTATGCAAAGTTTCAAGCCAAACTTCAAAACTTAGTTGTTTCAACGCTCGTAAATATTCAATATTTGATCAGCATAAAACTAGAGACAGTACTCTTTACAGATTATTTATAGTTCATTAGAGTCGATATGAAGCACATAGTTTCGACTTAAAAGCAATTGGATACTTGAAGAATTTCCCTCGATAGTCAATTATTTAAAGAAAAGTTTCTTAAAGTTCAATTACTCTTAAAACATTACTTGTTTCTTACCTTCATCTATTGATAAAGTTTTTGAATATATACAAAAAAACACCTGTTGATTCTTCTCCTACAAATTCAAGAAACATTATTAAAATACATTTTATATCCTTTATGAAAATAATAGAAGAAGCAACAAACACAGCATTAATTATGTTTTAATATGATATACTATGATCTGTGTTCACTTGACGCGTCTCTGCATCTCATGAGCTTCTCGAGCTTTTTCAAAAGTATTTTCAACTGACATAAATGACATGAGTGTATTGCTTTTACTTATTCTTTCTAGTTTTTTTTAAATTTATCTACTTGTCTTTCTAGCATAGGTACATTGAAGAGTTGCTTGAAGGCTAATTTTTGACATGAGTAAAAATCAATTATGCATAGAAAATATGTTTGCTAATATACATAGTATATTCTTAGTGAAAGGAGAGGTATTATTATTCTTTATATTTCAAAATGATGTTTTCAGCAATCGATTTTATCATGATTTGTATTGATATAATCGGTTTATTAGATAATTTTTATTTTATTTTAGACGTCGATTAATTTTAACTTTTTAAAAAGGAAGTGGCTATGTGCACTCGAGTGTACATAGTCGACTGGCTATGTACACTCAAGTGCACATAGTCGACTGGCTATGTACACTCAAGTGCACATAGCCGACTGGCTATGTACACTTGAGTACACATAGCCAGTCGGCTATGTACACTCAGGTAGGTATTATCAAAATATTACTAAATATTGAGTTATATTATAGCCATATATGTTCTTTATAATTATTATAATTAAAATTTATCAATTGATTAACAATTTTGCTCTATTTATTCTTTATTAAATTCAAATAAAATACAAAGCAAGTGTTAGAATCAAAATAATATAAAAGAGAAAGTTAATTCAAGTAAAAATCGACTGATTTACAAATATTTCTAGCATTTACTCTCTTAAATTCTTCAAGGAAATAGTTCTATTTTCGTTATTTTCAATATAACTAACATTAATCATCCGAAAATATCTTTTTATAAAAGAATAACGAAAAAATTTTCTTTTACATTCGTTTCTGATTGTATCTCTAATTTTGACAGCTATTTTTTCTCATCTTGAAAGAATCTCAGTTTATAATCTTGTTTTAATTCTTATTCTTTAGTGAGGATTAATCAATGGGTCTTGAAAAAAGGATATCTCGTTCCAGATTGAAAGCTAATTGGAATTTTATGTTTTTCAATTTCCCATTTTGTAAGCTAATTAATCAAGAAAAAGTAGAATCTTTCGTTCTATAAATTATCAATAGAGAAAGAAGGCACAATTAATAGAGAAGAAAAGCACTGGCATCAATATAATTGCCGTCCAATGTATTGAAAATAATAAAATGCAACCATTTCGTTCAAAATCTAAGAGATCAAGCGCTAGAAATATTTCTAAATGAGTTGATTTTTATTTGAATTAACTTTTTCTTTTATATTTATTTGATATTAATACTTGTTTTATACTCTATTTGAATTTTACAATAAATAAATAGAGTAAAATTATTAATAAATTAATAAATTTTACTCATGTTAATTATGAAGTACATATATGGCTATAATATATCGCAATATTTAGTAACTAGTTGATAATACCTACTTGAGTGCATATAGCTGACTGGCTATGTGTACTCGAGTGTACATAGCCAGTCGGCTATGTGCACTCGAGTGTACATAGCCAATACACTAAGATGCGGCTATGTGCACTCGAGTGCACATAGCCACTTCCTTTTAAAAATACAACAAATAAAAGATAATCTTATCAGTAGTTTAGGAATTTATTTAGAATATGTCTATTTATTACAAAAACTAGACAAATATTCATGAAAAAATATATTGAAAACTATACATTATAAGAATCTTTTTTCTTTAGAAATTAGTAAATGATTTATAATTCTTTGTCATTAGACGAAATAAAATCGAAGAGTTATATACAATTATGATTAAAAGAAAAGCATTATTAAATAATAAAATCTAGAGATATTTTAGTAAGTTTCATTTTAATAGATATATTATCTCTTATTCTACAAAACTACTTCATTTCAATCTTTGAAATAAAAATCATCCTTATGATTTATATATTCAGGTTGTTTATTTTTTATTGCCATGTGCTCGATGTAAGTCTCAATGACATACATCACAAACAATATTTTTAACTAAAGCATTATTTGCTCCTTGCTTTGAAATTTTCACCTTTTTTTTAAATTTCAGCAGACATTTGAAATAGTGTCACAGCTTCTCGCTGCTTCCATTAAATATATCAAAAATAACAAATATTCTATGTTAATTATTTACTACGAAAAAAGATGCAGTGACAGAAAGAAAAAGAAGAAAAGAAGATACTATCAATACATTGAGAGTACTTTGACCTTGGAAAAGTAGAATAAACAAAAATATTCACGTATGTCTCATCATGAATAATCGATGAAAAAAAAATGTATTTTTGTTGTCTCTAGTATTCAGTGAATAAGTCTGACTTTAATTATAAAGCAAGTATCCTTTGATTGTTAGTAATCAGTTAATTATTATTTTTAGAAATTTAAAAAAAAATTATTCACGTTAAAATGACAGTAAAATTACAAAGATGAGTGGGCAAAGAAAGAGCAAGGTAATACAAAATGAACGTGTTTACTCTGTGTTTCGAGGCGACAATAACGTAAATACTTCATTATGGGATGAGAAAATAGGAAAAAAAAGCATAAACTAAACACAATAAGAGGGGAAAAATGGAGAGAACGGTTAGATTTGTTGAAGAAAAAAGAATTACTTTTCTTTCTATAGAAATCCGTCTGAATATATCCAATGTAATGTTTATCTATATGTTATTAACTTAACAGAAGATCATGTGTTTCTAAATTTCTATGTTTATTGTTAAGAAGTATTACCAATAATAGTAAACAAAAGAATACCACAGTACATGTAAAATATATAGAATAAAAAAAAGCACATCGATGATTTCATGAGATAATACAATAAAATAAAATAAAAATATTTGTTAATCATATGAAGTCATATCAACATTTTGTATGAGAAAATATTGCTTTTGCCGTAGTTACTTTTCTCGTTTCTAAAAGATAATATAACAATTATTGTTATTATCTTCATCAGTTTAAGATTTTTCTTATTTATCAATTCCAGTTCATTATATTATTTTAATGGTATTGTTATAGTGTCAAAAATTGATATCACTGATTTCATTGTGAAGCTCGTCTTGGTTTTATTGAGCTGACACAATATCTTTTTTATGTGATGGCTATATAATCGTCATAAAAAAGTTTACAAAAATAAATACAATATCACGAATCATGTCAAATGTTCTGCTAAACTGAAAGTGAAGAATAATTCAAAACAAGCTGTTGAACTGTTGTTGTACTATTTTTATATTTTTCTATTGCACGTTTTAATTCTGTTATACTTTCTTTCAATCTTGGATCATTATAATCATATGTAACAATATTTAATTCAGGAAAATTGAATAAAAATAATTCTTTTAAATTAATCAATAAATCAGAATTAGG